ATTAAAAAAAAAAAAAAGAAAAAGAAAAAAAAAGAAAAAGTGTCAACTAACATTTGACGCATGGAAGATGCGATTTTAGGATTAACTTCCTTACAAAACCCAATAGTAAATATAATTATCCGTGAGCAATTTATTAAAATGAACCAATGAACCCGTTGAAAGGTTCAAACGGAGGAATCGTATGAGGTTTTAAAAGTCAAAGTTATTTGTTCATTCAAACGTTTTTATTTTTTTTTATTTCGTAGGGTCGAACACAGTTTTACTCCCGGTAGCCTTGCACATAATTTTTAATGCACAATAATCGCATATTTTATAAATATAGGTACCTCGAGTAGGAACTTTCGGTTCAGCGAAAAACTGAAAGTGGATGCGTTTTTGTCCGGTCATCTTGTGTGCCGCGAACCTCCACAACTGCCGAGCTGCACGCAACTTTTGAGTGATGCTCCAAACAGTCATCACCAGCTCCAAATAGCCTGGATGATGAACGGATATTTCAGTTTTTGGACGCGAAGGGGAGGGACTCGCTCGGAGTAGGTACCTAATGTATTTGGAGCCAGTCCGGGTAATTAATGTAAGTCGTGTGTATATCGGTATGCCACAACGTGACAAAAGTAATTACGTTTTTTACGTGCAACATCAAGCCTAATTGGCCGATCATCAAAAGCATAACTGAAGCAAGCCTGTTTTTAAACCATTAACGGGCCACAAATAGTATTCTCGAACCTTTTCAGTTATAGAATCTTTTGTTCGATAATTTGGAAACTACATATTATCTACACAGGTGTGTAGCGCGCTGTCGTTTGAACTAAAAAAAATTGATACTTAATAACGATTACTGTGTTCTTATAAATAAACAAATGATAAATGTTTAATACATATGCATTTTTAGAATCATTAGTCAATCCGAAAGTATAGTGTAAATTAAATTATTCTTCAAAAAAGTTTCGGCGGCCTATGTTGTGGCCTATTGCTATTTAAAAAGCATGCCAAGATTTGTTTTGACTTTTTTGGTGGATCCAATTAAACAAATTTTTTTCTCACAATGCTTTTTTCCAATTATGGACCATCGATAACTTTTAGAGTTCAAATGTCGTGTTTATACCTTGTAAAACATTAATGTAACATATTATACAATTTGCCAGNATTTTCGGAATCAAAGTTTGCAGTTTTTAACATTCTTAGGCCATCTTTAGCTAATCCTATCCGACTACATAGCTACAGCAAGAGTAAATGAATATCGTGGACAAGCCGCGTAACTTCCGAACTTGCAGTTCAGGATCGTAAGTTTTAAAAATTTTATATTACAATCAACCATAAATAAAATAGTATAATTTTTTTATTGGTCAAAGAGCGTAATTAATTATATCCTGTTGAAGTTTTAAGTCAAAACAATTGCAAAATAGCCTGTAATTAAAAAAAAACGTAAATTTTGCATGGCTTGACTCCGAATGAACCTAGAGTGGCGAGATTTTTCTTTTTAAATTCATGCTTATCTATTGCAATTTCAAATCCCTTTAAAGCACCTAATTTAAACTATTATCAGCTGAAATATTTTTGTTTTAAACGTGTTAGCACTAACATTTTGGAATTATATACTACATTATTAAAATGTAGACTATTTATGAAGTGATGTACAACGTTTTGAGTAAAAATTTTTTTTTTAATTTAATATAGTGATGATTATATGAAAATCAAGATATATGAGAAAATTAAGCTGTAGAAACGATATACAAATAAAAAAAGAATACCCCTGTACTTTTGATGCTATTCGTGATAAAATATTAAATTTTCAATGGTGAAAAAGATGCGACTAATGGTATTTTGGTTCAAGTGTAAGAATCAATCAAATATAAAACACAAGAGTCGATTTGGTCTTCATGTTTTGAACAACTTCTTCAATTTGACTAGATTTTGTGGCGATGGAAGTACCCATGATTAAATATGTTTGATAATAAAACCAATGCAATTAATCGCAAAAAATTGTTTATTTCATGTGAGGTACGATACAAATTATACAAAATTTCGATCGCCAAATATAAGTTAAGTAGAGGGTGGAGAGTTTGTGCCAAGTGTGGCCACCCCCTCGTCCTCAAACGCAGACGTCTGTCAGAGCCAGTGTGTTGTCAGTGATATTCCACGCGCGCGCACGTAAGTATAGGTCTCTCACTCTCTTGCTCGCGCGCACGTTCGTGATATCGGAGGCTTTGATTTTTATTTTATTCTTTTCGTAACACTGACGTGTCCTCTCTTCAACTATAAATACTAAAGTACAGGTGTACTTTCCGACTCCGTGTGTTTGTATAACAACGTATTGTTGTATCTAAAATACAAAAAATATCAGTGAACAGTTTTGCTGTGTCTCGTATCGGTTTTCCAATTCTTTAGGCCGTTTTATTCTTCTCGAAATTTTGGTGAAAGGAAAAACAAAAAGTGTGAATAATATTGTACCTATTGTTGTTGATAACATTTTACACGTTGAGAGGTCGTCGTCGTCAAGAAACGTAAAGGGAGTGGGCAAGCAAGAATTTAAGCGTCTGCATGTGCACATACATCACCTACGTTCGTGTGCGTGTTGTTATTACTCCAACTTTCGCTTGCAGGTTCCTTAAATTATAAGCTTGTTACGCCAACCAACAACGTCAACAACTACATCGCTTTGTTGGGCGCACATTTGTATACAAGTAAGTACATGTGCGTACACTTTATGCAATTTAATAAATAATAAGTACACGTAAGCTGAGCGTGTGTCTTCTTGTGTGTCCCTCTCTGTGTGCCTGCGTGTGAGTGTTTTCTCAAGTTGAAGTTTTTTAGGCGCAGTTTCTACCTCGATAACGATGACTGACATTTCCCACTAGCCTCTTTGGTATTCAGATTTTTTGGCTCCCGTGTTACGTTTATCCACCTGAAACTTGCTTTTCAACTGACAAGCAAACGAGTTTTATTACCACGATTATATTTTTCTGTCTCTTTCATCACCAAAAGATCAAGACATCTGAGCTTTTTGCTCGTGTGCTGTATACGCTGGAGATCTGCAAACATGGAGCTATGGCTGAGGGAGAGGTTATTCAGCTTCGCCGAAATCATAATGAGGGTGCCACCGCTGTTTGTCATTGACGAAATGCTGAGGATCGGTCTGGGAGTTTCACAGGAGCCTTTAACTTTCAACAGTTCGGATAGTGGATTCTCCTTGGAAAATCCGGCTGGCAATGGAGCTCTCGAATCTATGGTCTCAGCAGCTGGGAATTCGGTATTTATTGGACAAAACTGGACTCAAATGTACTCTGCACCTATCGCCTATGATGTCTTTTTCTATCAGGTTTATCTGATGACTGCTCTCAGGTTCTTTATCTGCTGCTTAGGTGAAAAATTATTGTATTGCTTACTCTATGATGAACGTTTGGCAGTTAAAAGTTTTGAACTAAGATTTTGCATATTTAATAGCTAATGATACGTTTCGAAACAACTGCAAATAACGATATTTTAATTGAATTTCAATAATCACATAATGTAATAATAACAGTCAAGCATATTGCAAAAGTATACGAAAAAGTTACTGTTTGCAGTGTCTAAAAAACAGTTGAGATACATTTTATATTGTTCAAACATTCATCTGCAACTAAACTTGAAAGATGGGCTAATGAAAATTACTCTACTATAAATATGTTGACAAATTTTACAGGTTGCATAGCTGCGTTGTGTACTTTTATGCTATCTACCAGACATCTTATCATTGTATACCTTTATCTGCTGTCCGTGGGAATAATATTTGTGTCCTATTGGTCCAACATGAGCACAACGGATACCATTATTGCTTACCTGAGCAATAAAGAAGGAGGAGGAGGAGGAGGTAGTATTGCAGCAGATGTTCTCAATCTCCAGTTTGCACAACTCATGTCTAATGGACCTGGCTTGATGATTATTCAAAACTATGCACTCCAAAGTGTGCTGGCACACCTATTTTGTTACGTTAATCTTGCCCCAAGACACACTGGTGTCCAGAAGATACTTGCCCTAAGCTTTACTGCACCGTGTCATGTTGCTCTTTTTCCTCTCCCTGTGAGTATTTCTTCTTTTTTCATTGTTAGATTGCATTCAAGTTTTATGAGTTTGAGAAGGTTAATCCAAATTCCGATTTTAGTCTCACAAGTAATTATAAACATTTGTTACAGATAAGCTTGATGAAAGCAGCTCCGGTGTATGCAGCCCTGGTGCCACTAGCTGATTGCAAGTTTGTCCTGTGGTACAATATTACCAACATTTGGCGAACGATATATCGGGGCTACCAGCTCGGCCGTACTTTTATCAGCAACTACGGCCTGTCAGCCCTTGCGGAAGCTCAATGGACGCGGTTGCATATTCCTTCAGTCCTCCGTACTTTCTGGATCCTGAGAGTAACGGAGCAGTTGGTACAGCTGCTTAGTACCGAGTACGCCGAAGACAGCTTGAATTACTATCAAGTGGTCAAGACGTTGATGGTCAACGGATGCGAGACTCTAACGGCTGTGCTAGGAATGACGAGCATAATTTCGGTTATTTGCCACTACATAGGCAGCTTCTTCTACTGGGTACTGTTGATCGATAACGAGGACGAGAAAAACATCGGCACGATCTCGGCTATGCTGTTCTACATTCTTGCCCTTCAAACTGGACTTACGTCCCTCGACAAGGAAAATAGATTGTTGAGGCTCTGTCGCAACATCTGTCTACTATTTACCGCTGTCTTACATTTTGTGCACAATATTGTGAATCCGCTGCTCATGTCGTTGAGTGCGTCCCACAATCCAGCTTTGCACAGGCATGTTAGAGCGTTGGCTGTGTGTCTCTTTTTGATTGTCTTCCCAGTGTGTCTGTTGACGTTCCTCTGGTCAAGGTACGCGATCAGCACGTGGTTACTGGCTGTGACGGTGTTTAGTATCGAAGTGATTGTCAAGGTTCTTGTCTCCTTGGCGATTTACTCGCTCTTCCTTTATGATGCTTACCGAAAAAACTTCTGGGACGAGCTCGACGACTGGGTTTACATTATTAGGTAAGTTGGTAAATACGTTTTTTTTTTTTTTTTTTTTTAGAAAGAGTCAAAATATAAATTAATAAATAAACAAACAACTTTGCAAGTTATACATTCGGGTGTCACGTCTCACGCTCTGCATTATTTAATACATTGAACGATGATAAATAACAATGATGAAAATAGATAAGTCCAGATTCAACCCTAGTTCACCTTACCACCGGCCTTTAATAAAATTTTCAGGGCTTTTGGCAACACGGTGGAGTTTGCGTTTGGCATAATTCTCTTCTTCAACGGTTTTTGGATCCTAGTGTTCGAGGCGGGTGGTGCAATTCGAGCCCTAATGATGTGCGTGCACGCGTATTTCAATCTCTGGTGCGAAGCAAAGGCCGGCTGGAGCGTATTTATGAAGCGACGGCACGCCGTCAACAAAATCAACTCACTTCCCGAGGCCAATCCCCAACAATTGCGCGAACACGCCGACGTATGCGCGATATGCTACCAAGAGATGGAGACTGCCAAAATTACCAAGTGCAATCACTTCTTCCACGGGGTGTGCCTGAGAAAGTGGCTCTATGTGCAGGACAGGTGTCCGCTCTGTCACGATATCATGTACAAGGTTAATAATAATAATAACAATGGACAGAACGGGGTACAGGACGTAGTTCAGCCTGCTCAGGTTCCTGAGGTGGAGGCTGAGAGAAACGAGATGCCTGGCAGGTCGAATGATCAAGGTTTGTTGAACGAGAACTTGTTTTGAACATGAAAATTTATCATCTAGGTGTTTAATGTTTCCATTAATTGATTTTAGCAAATTCTATTATGACGCCAAACGTTGCAAATGTCGCTCGAATGCTGGCGGAGGAAAGAACGAGACGAGCATTGAGATCACGTCAAGAGGTGACAGCAGAGGAGGAGAGGTGAAGTCGCGAGCGCGTTCATGACAGTCTTTTTGTGATAAATGAAGGAAAAAGAGTTGGTAACTAAGAAAAAATTATAATGAAATGCGGATAATCGGAGAATTCCAAGACTTGAAATTTTCTAGAAACTAAGATTGTTATGCATACGAAAAAAAAAATTATAATATATACATATATATATATATATAAAAGAAAAGGTATGGGGGATTCTGAAAAGTATGCATTAATGAATGAATGGAAAATTGCAGGTACTGATTACTTCTTTTTCCTAATACGTTGAAAACGCAAGCTTTGACGTTCTTTGATACGTTCGTTTGCTACGACTGGCTGTAAATTTTGTAAATTATTTATTTTGAACTAAAATTTCTAAGTCAAAATAGCATAATTTTAACAAGCACGAAAGCTCGCTTCAATCGTATAATCCTTAGTGATGAAATTAAACAGATAATTAATCCGTAAATTTGAATAGGGTTAGCTCAAAATGAGAAATTGAAAGATAAATTAAAATCAAAGTTGTGAAACTTTATTGTTCATTTTAAAAAGGAAACACCGATGTTGTTTGAAAACTAGTTGGGCAGTGCGTTTTTTCCTTATCAACTCCAAATAAAATCAGGCTCGTAGTTAGGTTTTTACGTAAATTATACACATTTTTTCGTTACATCTGTTTTCTCAACGACGTCTCGTACTTAAAGACTTCGTAATTAACTTCCAAAGTCAAGGATATTCTGGATACGGAATCGCGTGCGTATCTAGTTTTTCTTTGTCTAGCGCCAAAGTTATAGGTGAGAAAAATTCCGTGATAATGTGGGATGACGCTCAACGTCTTGAACAAATAGATGGATGTACTTTTGACGAATAATGAGTTTCTGATTCCTTTTTTTTTTTTTTTTTTTTTTTTTTTTTTTNCATACACTGTTATAGCTGTTATCTCTCGGCGATATTATTTCAAACACGCCAGTCAATCAAACGTATACGCTGCAGGTAAAACTTCTATACGCGCGTACTTCCTCTTCGACACACGTACACATTATACACGATCCATTAGACAGAGTTAATCGCGCTAACAATAAAATAACGCAACCAAGGATAATACGATATATACCCTATGACGTATATTGTGTACACATTACCCTGATATACGTATATGAAATTAAATTACATGGCTCGTGCGCACTTAAAGTCATGATGACGCACACGTTTAAATTAAAAAAAAATAAAATAAATAAATAAACACGTATACATACATTATATACGAGAGTATGGCAATTAATCACGTGTACATACATACACACATATATATATACGATACTCGAATTTATTCGTCTCTCGTTCAAGCTCAAAGAGTTGGCTGACGTTCAAACGCACTTTCTAGCCGAGCGATTTTTGGCGTGGTTTTTTATTTTATTTTTTTTTTATTTTTGGCATCGCCCTCGAATTAACAATCGAATGCTTTCGTTTTTTAATTCTCCTTTCTCGAGCAAATATACTTATTTTCCCGCCATTGCCTGAAGGATCAAATGCCAGAAAATAAATTTAAAAATCACAGACAACCGATCCAGACCCATCGGTCCGAACGGCGACGACAGCGATCGACAGAGGTATCGCGTGTACAGTCTCCACCTTGAAATCAATCGATACCCCCCTCCCCCTCTTTGAAGTCAACGAGAGAGAGCATCGCAGAGCAGCTGTACCGAGAGAGGTAGTAGGTACACACACACACACACACACATTTCCAAGGCACTAAAACGTTAGCTCTCTTTTTCATGCAGCTCTCTCGCGGCAAAGCAGCCATCAGCGCGGGCGAGAGAGAGAGAGTCTTTGGAACGGCGCTCAGTTGCACTCTTACTATCCATCGGGCGAGAGCGAAAGATTTCACCTCCATGTGTGTTATACGCTGCTGATGCTGGTGGTTTATGTATATATTATATACCCGCATCTTTCCATACCTCCATATAACTTATACAGATAAGTAACTGATAGAGATATTTGAACTGCGTGTGTTGTAATATTGTGAGTCGAAGAGCTTTTGAGTGCGCATAAAAAATACACCTTGGCTTCTTGTTGCTGTGTTGCTGAAGGCTATTTTCGTTCTCCAGGTGAGTAGGTGATTGTTGCTTATTATTTATTTTTTTTTTTTCTTTTTCTTCAATGTTCTTTTCCGGAGAAAGGATGGCATTGTTACGTAATGTTATGGGAGATTGTTCTTACACATACACATACATATATATATATATACATGCGCTGCAATTTGTTAAGTAACGACTTGGGAGGAGCGTTTGTGTACACGGGATGATTTTCAAGAGTTGAATGCAAGTGATTCGCTTCATGAGTTTTTATGTATAATAATTTTTCCCATGCTTTTGCATGAATTTTCTTTGTAAATTTCAAGTCACGGCAGTTGTAAATGAGATTCAGAGAATCTCGCATCAATAATTGTTGAACTTGACAAATACACTTTATTTTTTTTCCCTGTACAATACACCTTTTTTTCATTTTCATTGTTTACCGTTGAAACCTTTAAAACACGAATTCACTTGGAAAAAGTAACAATGGTCGCAAAAATGGCCATAAATCGCGGTTTTGTTTGTGTCCACCCGACGCGTGACGCAGTCGGAGAGCCATAAACGTTTTTTTTTCTAATCGTGTTATTGAAAAACACGAGTAACCATTTCCCTCCACGCAGTGGATCATTATCATCATCTTCGGTGTAACCCGAAGCTATGAGACGCAAGCTCGCGCTCAAAATCTTAAAAAAAAAAAAAGAACGAAATGCCAATGAAGAAAAGAGAATCGAAAAGGCCACTTGCAACAGATGAGTGTCAATGGAAACGTTTACGGTATAATAGGCGATTACGCTATCCCCCGGCGCTTATTATAATATACGCAGATTACATTATACTGCACGCGTGGAAACAAGAAGGAATTTATTGCGTATACTTAATTATACGCACATGCGATCTTGTACATCTGATGGTGAAAAAAAAAAAAAAAACATCTTTGATCGCAGTATCGGTAAACTGAAAAGGGAAGGGTGGAGCAGTACTGACACCCTACAGTTAAGTTATGAAACATCTCGACGATTAAAAAAAATATATATATATACCCACGCGAAATCACAATCCATGGTAAAAATCTTTTTTTTTTTATGTATAGACACGAGGCTTTTTTTACCAACAAATCAAAAAGAATGTCTTTCAAAAGTTCTGTACGTGTGCCCTATATATACCCGTGGGTGGAGAGCGACACCCGTTTTACAACATTTTATAAAGGTGACAGTTTGCACTGAATTTTATTGTTATTACTAATAAAGTTAAATTTATTATACGAGAATATATACGTCCCAGTGCTTATAACAATTATTTACTGAGAATCGAAAGGAAAAAAAAAAAATATTTATGGATAAAACCAATGACCAATGGTATTGCTGTTATTAAACATTTTATCCTTTACCCGCAAAACAACCGCGCGTTGATTTATCGATCCCCAACGACGCGGTGTAGGAGAAGTCGTTTTGACGAAAGCTCCGTTCGTCGAATCGCGCTTCTCCGTAAAACGATACCGCGTTTGCATGTACGAAATCTCGTTGCGAAAATCTCACGAAACCAGATAGATAATGTAATGTACACGGGGAGGAACAAAAAAAATCCTTCTTCCGCCTGGCGCATCGCAGAGAGAGAGAGAGAGAGATAAAGAGTGTGCATACTACACGCGAACTTTGATCTCCAAACGAGAGGGAGACAGAGGAAAAAAGAGTGAGCGTGGGCGCAAAGGGAAGAAGAGGCTCTTTGTGCGCGTGATTCAAGTGGTCAAGAGGATATGAAAACAGCGAAAGAGCTGAACGTCTGCAGTTTTTTGTTGTTTACCAACTTTGTGAGTCATGCGTGGCAATACCCAAGTCGTCAGCAGACCATAACGTTTTTGTAACATTATACGTTGAGGATTGATCCTATTGATAAAGAGCGCGAATGAAAAATTTTCGACAAGATGAATGTCAAATGCACCTGTGATTGGAATAAAAAAAAATGCGTTCAATTGATGTACTTTCTTGGCTTGGCATCAGAGAGTCCGTTTCCAACTCATTTGTATAGGTATCTCGAAACAACAAAATACAAGTGGCAGCGATTTCCATCGTTTTTATAAACATCTCGTGTAAATACAAGCAAAAAAAACAAAAAAAAAAAAAACACATCGCATCTAGATACTCTATTTTTTCTCCCTGCACAATCAGCCAATCTTCTTGGTCTCAATCGCGTTGTGCAAACCCGCATTCCGATGTGGGGAAAAAAAAAAGAATACCCAAGTCGAATCTGCCGGGCATAGGAAAAGTAGCGCGCGCCCGTGAGTAACAAGTCCGCGCCGGCGACAATACAAGTATTCAAAACACGGGTGGCCGCTGGAGTGAAGAAGAAGAAGAAAAAATAGTCATTTGGCCACCGGAATCTGCTTTGAAAGCTCGCGAAGCCACAAACTGACGACCTTCACCCGTTATTTTTTTTTTTTTTTTTTTATTTCCTCGCGGTACTAATTATTATTATTTTTTTAAACTCATTCATACACTGTTATAGCTGTTATCTCTCGGCGATATTATTTCAAACACGCCAGTCAATCAAACGTATACGCTGCAGGTAAAACTTCTATACGCGCGTACTTCCTCTTCGACACACGTACACATTATACACGATCCATTAGACAGAGTTAATCGCGCTAACAATAAAATAACGCAACCAAGGATAATACGATATATACCCTATGACGTATATTGTGTACACATTACCCTGATATACGTATATGAAATTAAATTACATGGCTCGTGCGCACTTAAAGTCATGATGACGCACACGTTTAAATTAAAAAAAAATAAAATAAATAAATAAACACGTATACATACATTATATACGAGAGTATGGCAATTAATCACGTGTACATACATACACACATATATATATACGATACTCGAATTTATTCGTCTCTCGTTCAAGCTCAAAGAGTTGGCTGACGTTCAAACGCACTTTCTAGCCGAGCGATTTTTGGCGTGGTTTTTTATTTTATTTTTTTTTTATTTTTGGCATCGCCCTCGAATTAACAATCGAATGCTTTCGTTTTTTAATTCTCCTTTCTCGAGCAAATATACTTATTTTCCCGCCATTGCCTGAAGGATCAAATGCCAGAAAATAAATTTAAAAATCACAGACAACCGATCCAGACCCATCGGTCCGAACGGCGACGACAGCGATCGACAGAGGTATCGCGTGTACAGTCTCCACCTTGAAATCAATCGATACCCCCCTCCCCCTCTTTGATCGGATCAAAACAAACACCGACAGCGGGCGGGCAAAAAAAAAAAAAAAAAAAAACCCATCCACCCACGAACCTCACCCATCATCCATCCTGCTTCCGCAGCGCGCCTCGCTTTGATATATCCGCATTTCGTGTCGCATATATTGCCACGGGACGATCCCGTCTCTCTCGTCAATCTGATTAATTGGAGGCGAGCCACCGCGGAAGCTCATAGTATCGCCGTTTAATCGGCAGAGACGCTCTCGGTACACCAGCTGCCAGAAAAAAAAGGTACACGCGACCGGCACCCAAAGTCTAGGACTACTCGTCGATACGCCACCAGTTGGATCCGCGAGCGCGACGCGACCACTTGCTTTTTGCCATCTTATATACTCTCCTCCGATCGCGTGTACTTCATAGGTACGTGCGTGTATGTATTTGTAGTGTCATACAGCAAACCGATTACCGATATTTTCTTTTTTTTTTTTTTTTTTTGTCCTTTGTGATTGCCAAGGTACAGCTTTGCTTTAGCGGTGCTCTTTTTGTTTCGTAGTCGTTTGGCCAACGAGTAGTGGTTTTGCATCATACAAGCTTCCCTCTTTTCGGCCGCAAAAACGCTCGTACGCCCCCGGGAAATGAACATACGTTCTCTCCGGCATACGCGTTATTTACCGAGGTCGCGTGACCCATGCCGATTTATCCTACTCTCGTGTGAAAATAATAAATTATAACAACAAATGGTCAATCGCACCATCGGGAACGAAGTAGTTCATTTCCTTGGGGATGTCGTGTGTAAATGTACATGTATAATATGTATCACTTTGTGCTTACTCGCGCTTATTTTGTGCGCGACTTTTAATAATTTCAGCGGCTAAACATAATAGCTTTTCCTGCTGCTAACAGCATGCCGCGGTCCAGCCGATACCCACCGCTCCCACCCATCTCCCCTGTCCAGTTGGCCCTAGTGAGTTCACCCCCGACCTACCATACGACCCGTGCTTTGCCGATGTCACCCGCGCACACGCGCTGCATCCTCCTGGCCGCGGCTCGTCCGCGCTACCCCGTGCCCTACGTGGCCCTGAGCCCCCAACCGCGCAGCCTCTCCCTCGCCCTGAAGCTGGCCACGGCGCCCCGCGAGCCCGGCCCCCTCAGGCTCGCCCCGTCCCACCCCTGCCTCATCCCCACACCAAAGTCCAAAACCCTGTCCCGCTGTCCGCCCCTCTCCTTCCGCAAGACCTGCCCGTGCCCGCTGTCCCGGCGCTGCGGCAACTGGAGACCCTCGCCCCCCATGCCAAAGTTCTTCTCGCCGGCTTATCCCCTGATGCCCCGTTACGTGCCCGAGGTGCCCCAAGACAGGCTGGCCAGGGCCATGCGCCCCGAGCCCCGGCCCGTGTTTCTCGGCCTCAGCCTCGAGAACCACGCGCTCAAGAGACGCGGCCCCACCACCTCCTCCTCGCGGCCCTACAGAGCTTGATGCTTTTGCCGACCATCTGTAAAGTGTAGTTTTTTTTTTTATATGTATACATTTGTGTGGCTCCGATGTCGTGTGATTTGTAAGAAAGAATAAATAGCTTCGGACTTTAGTTTATCCGCACCCCCAAGAGCTTTTTCGCGTGCATCAGTGAATAGAAAAGATAAGTGTGATGTATATATACCCTAAGCCATCCTTGCATGCAATGGATCCGCTAGCTTTGTATATATATACTATATTTATAACGTATAGAGATTTTCACCCCCCGCACAAAATACAATAGCGATAAATATGATGATGATGATGATAATAATAAGGCCCGCGAGCTGCTGTACCTTGATAAACACACACTCTCGGGCGCGGCCCTTCAGTTATCGTCCTTGCCCCTGAGACCGCCCCATCCTCGCTCGTCCGCTCCTCGTCCCGCGAAGCCAGCTATGCAGCAGATCTGCGAGTACCACTACAAGCACCGCGAGACGCGGGTCGAGCGCACTTACCCCCTGTATCCCTCGTCGCCGCCGATACCACCCCCACCGCCCCCGCCACCGCCGGCCCAGAAGGTCCATTACATCCGGGTGGAGGTCGAGAAGCCCCAGCCACCACCCCCGAGGAAGAAGGTCGTGTTCATCGAGGTCGAAAAGTCACCGCCGCCACCGCCGAGGGACAGGGTCGTTTACATACAGGTCGAGAGAGCACCGCCGCCGATGCCCTTCTACCAGGAGATGATGAGTAAGCTATTTCGGGTTTTTTTTTTTTTTTTTTTTTTTTTTTTTTTTTTTTTTTTTTTTTTTCCTAGTGTGTAACAAGTACGGGGTGGGTCGGTTATACTGTTATGTATATAGCGTCGCTTTGACGGTGCCTTTGCGCTATTGACCAATTTACTTGCAGTGTCGCGTGCGGTTGGATGTTTAATAATAAATTTTCGAGTCTATATATACGTTGTGTGTACAGGTATAGGTGGCGCGTGGTTTTCGTACACACATTTTGATATTTCGGGATCGCGGTAAAAGTGTCGCCAACAGCTGATTTTATGTTGAAATTGAAGTCGCGATTTTTGGGCACGCGATTTATACTTTTATACTCCTGTATTTTTACCGGAAAGCGAAAAGAGTGAAAAAAAAAAAAAAAAAATGCGTTTTTTGGGTGAAAGCCATTTTAAGATCCCGATGGGTGTCGAGTCGACTCTTTTTCGTTTACCTGCAATGTATACGGGATTGCATTTTATTTGCTAAGACAAGGAATATTCATAATTCAATGGGTACTTTCGTTTATAGTCAATTTTTGGAAGGATGAAAAAAAAAAAAATTCGTCCTTTGTTTTACCAAACATTATAACTTTACCAGGTGTACGTATGAAGGGGTGTATCTTCGAAAATAATATTTTTATCGAAAAGCAAAAAAATATGCTCTTTACAGGTCCTTCAACTCGAAAATTGTTATGAATGGTTTTTCATAAATAAATTTGTCCCTCTTGACATGATAACTGAAACCATTAAGAAAAATTGTTATTTTCACGATCCAAACAACAAAGAAAAGAAAAAGAAAATATTGAAGGAAATGATGACATAAATGAAATATCAACATCGCAATGATCATTTTTCTTTTGTTCTGGTAAAAAATAAAATTTTTCGCGTAAATTTTATGGATTTACACGAAAAGAAATAAGGTTTCGCTCGATCGGAGGAAAAAAAAAAAAAGCTCAAATCATCCCCCACAAACGTAATCGATACCCACATCCGATTCTGCCCAACCCACCCACGCCTTTCTACAATATATTGAGTAAGCAAAGTGTCTGTGTATACATATAAGACCCAGAGAAGAATAGAATGGAAAGAGAGGCTTTAATGCTGTTCGTTACACTTAGCGGTGCAGGCCACCTTTTTCTCACGGCCGTGCCGCTCGAGGCTCGTTTTCCGCGTCAAGGCTGCCACACTTTTTTCTCTCAGCCGCGCGTTATATACACTCTCAATTGTCACTGCTGTCGTCGCCTCTTCTGCGAATAATTGCATTCATCATTTTTTTTTTTTGGTTCCATTTGCTTAAAAAATAAAAAATAATAATCATAATAATACCAGTTATAGCCAAATAAGCTCAGTTCGGGGAGCGTATACGCATGTTTATTCAAATTAAATAGAAAGTGCGCACAAGAAAAAAAAAAAAAAAAAAAAAAAAAACACTATTACATCCACGTGTACGCGTTTAACGTAATTGTGAATGGCCATTATTTTCCAATGGTTGCGTGGACCTCCGCGCCTGTGATTTTCCGAGTCCACAATTATGTATGGATGCCGGTGTTTTCTCATCGAACGATATTTCATCACCGATTCCAAGTGGGGAAGTAAAATGTATGCAAAATTTAATAATATTTATCGCAACATTTATAATTTCGAAAATATCATGCAGCATACGTCGTATTGTTGAGGTTGACCATTTTCGGCGTCGAAAACAATTGCAAGCAGCAAAAAAATGCGGATCGAAAAAAAAAATGGCTCATCTTGGCGCGCAGCTCCGTATATCTGCCACGTATGCTTATAATCGTCGTCGCGGCCTTGATCACGAGCCAAGAGTCAAATTTCCGGCCCAAACTTATGTAAGCGCGCGCATTAGCATCGGCGATGCGGATGTGACGAGCAATAAGGTCGCCCTCTATAACGAGCAAAATGTCTGATGCTGCTGATGATGCGCATAATTTTTAGGTTTATGAGCGGTTCCATATCTGGCCGAAAAAATCTGAACAATCGCAGGTACGGCTCGCGTGTACGTAAGTACATGTTTTTTTACTTCGTTTGCACGTCAATTTGGCAACTACGTTTTTTAAGGTGGGAATTTTTAATCCGAGACTCACGCGTGTACGTAATTTTAATGTCTTTTGGACACGTGTACTTTGGCTTATTGAGAAATATGCAAATTTCTTACGCAAGGTGTTACGATTGATTCAAGTTTAATCTGTCGCACATCGAGAAAACAAGATTTGATATTGGTCTTTGTTAAATTTAAGTATAAGGTAAAGAAACTTGTACGTGTCTCACCACAACCACCAATATTCAGACTTGAGCAGAATTATTTCCGGAATTTTAAAAACGTGAATAAAAACTTTCTCCCAAAATTAAGTGCATTCGATTCGATGAGAAATTTTTTATTTATCATTTTTTACAATACAGTAATGAGGACATAATATATGAAATAATGCATCAAGCATTTAGCAAAAAAACTTATTTTAAAATAACTTTCAAAGTATCCAAGTCTGACCATATATTGTACGTAACAGAGTAACAAAACATCCTTAAAAACAAACCAATAATTGGAGTGAATGCGTGGGGCACGCAAAAGCTGTATGTATACGTATACTATAAACAATGAAAAATAATAAGCCTGTGCGAATGACCTTTTTTTGTCAACGCCTCGTTGGTCGCTTCCTCTTCCTCGTTTTCTCTCTTATTGCAACATCGTCTTGAAATTCGTTCGCGAAGCTCGTTTGCGCCAATGTATACAGGTATAGGGGATCGGTATTTCATGCAGAAGAGACAAGAGTATACATATTTTCGTATTTATGGCACGTAACTTGTATTCATTGGAAAATGTACTTTATGTAACACACAACATTCATGTACATTATACTATTATACTGTATTCATTTATTTTACGCAAAGCATTTTAACCCAGTGTGACCAATGTGTTTTTGCCTGAGAAAATGGCATTGGGTGATATTTGGAATTATTATATTTTTTAACGTACATGAAAACACATTTTTTTTTTCCATGAATGTACTTCATTTTTTTTACCAAAAAAATTTTCTGATTCATCCTTATTTGGTACATAACATTGAGAAAAACAATTTTTCTACCATGAAAAGTGCATTACACTATTAAAAAAAAATTATGTTTCAAAAACCTGGAAAAGTAAGTATCCGTGCCTCAGTCTGCAACTGTACATAGGAATTATACTAGCGTTCCTCTGTCGGGACTTTGATGTCGAAGCCATTTATCTTATTTTATCTCTTATATGTATATAGAAACACATGGAGCATGAAAGTCGAAAAAACGTAGATTTATGATTCGTACGAGTATATAATTTCACTAAAAAACGTGCGTACGAATGTGGAATGATACACCAGGTATTTAGTTCGAGCGAGAGGTTTTGTAATTTATCAACATGTATTTTTTGCGCTTTAATATCACTCGGGTCTATTGCGCGAATGTAAATTGTTTTTGTTACATATAAAGCAGTCGAGCGGCTGAGAGCTTACTTTTGAGTTTTTGGCAAAAGCCAGAGATTAGAATAATTTACGATCGCATACGCCGGCCAGCGTGATCGATTGCTCCCATTAGCCGTGAAAGATGTGGCGACGAAAATCGTTTAACATAGATTGTATGTCTACGAGTTGTTTTTTTTTCTTTCACATGAAAAAAACAAATATTAAAAAAAAAAGAAAGTTCAATTCCAGTGCATTTGCTAAAAAATATAATAATTTGTGTTAGACAAAGCCAAGTTTACTTCATTGTTTTACATCGATTCCCCAATAGTTGAAACGTTTATTTATACCTCATTAAATGCACAGAAGAACTTTACGCACGTAAATATTGTAAATAATGTGACAGTTCATTAGGATAATATGATTGATCTTAGGTATAGTAGTTTTCTCATGGACATTTGATTGTATAGTGACTATATTTTGTGTAAATATCAGAAACGTCGCACTTTGTCTGATGAAGGAACTAATGGATGATAATAATTACGAAACTGAGGTAATAACTAGTATTTTTATCTAATTTTTATAGTCCAAAAATCACCCAGAAAATTAAATTTTTAAGTTTAGCAAAAAGTATTTATAAATGTCCTTTTGAAAAATGTATAAGGGACTGACGCAGATTTCGTTGCCAAAGCCATGATTCTTATTTTATTTCTCTCGAATGGAGCTTGAAAATAAAAAAAATGTCAATTTATAGTCCGTACGAGTTTTGTTTCGCTATAAATTTAAAGTATTTATCGCGCGAGCTCGGAGTTTATAATTTGTTTACGCCTTGCGACATCGATACGAAATTGTTACTTTTTAACAGTAAAATTTTGCAATGATAAAAATAAGTCGCGAAAAGTGTATGTGATGAAAATTACTGTTTCATTGGAGTAAAAAATTAATTAAAATTAATTTCTCATTCGTATTACAGTAACGATCGTCATTCGCTTCTTCGCCCTCGTAGTGACATAACCTCAATATCCAATACCCAATCTCACGCTTGAAAAAACACACACACAAGTGTATCACCCACATATTGAGGTTCGTTCGCGTTGCACCTCGACCTCGCGTCCACACAATGCTAGACCTTGGCCCAGAAGAACCACCGAAAATAGCAAGATGCCGGCTCGTGAAACGCGAAGATTTCACCGGCATCCGCCGGCTCGTCCGCTGTCGCACGCTTGACACTTTTCCCGACGCCGAGCGCTTCGGAGCCATTTAGTAGGTTTTCCTTTATTGATACCTCGTTTTTTCTTCTTCCCCCCCCCCTCTTTTCTGCAACAACACCGTAATATCATAATCACAAAGATCCTGAACATATTGTACCTCACGCATTTCGCGCTGCATATTATTTTCGGAGTCAAGTTCGACTGGAGGGTTTACTTCGTCGTCGAGTTTTGGGTGATATTTTTCTCGACCGTAGGCCACGACCTCCTCGTCTGTCTGATGAATATGGGACTGGATCTACTTTTCGAGGACTCTTTTGACTTTGTCATAAAATTCATGCTCTAAGAGTCGAAAAAAAAAAAAAAAAATCATAACACCATCATTGAAAATTTAGCGAAAAAGCCGTGCTCTGCTTACTACAAGAAAACGAAGCAAACGAGATCGCCTCGGCGATGTTTCTGTGCAACCATCCGAGCGTCCCGGCGCTTTCCCGAGGAGATTGGCTGACCTGGTTACACGGGCTCTACGCGTACGTTAAATTATTATTCAACACGTGTATTTTCCCCTTTGCTTTTCATCCGTGAGAACAAAATCGTGTGATATTTCATGTATCCGTTCGTTTTGATGACAAAAATACAAAGGCTGAAAAAGTCAACGGAGATGAACACGTTGTTCGTGCACTTCCTCGTTTGGGACGATCGTTACGGGGACTGTTTCCTGGGAGAGCTGTTGAAGGCAACTTTCTACACGGCCGCGCTCTGCAATTACGTCATTGTGGTGCAGCCACCGGGAACGACACCAGGTGATGCGACGACGACTCGTTTGTTTTCCTTGGCACACGCCTTTTGGCCTTTTTCCGGAACAACGCGTCACATCATTTTTTTTTTTTTTTTTTCTATAAACTTTGAAATTAAAAACCCAAGTGTACAAACCTTATCGTGTAATTTTTAAATAGAGCAAAAGAGCCCTCTACAGCCTTCTTGTGGTGATAGTTTGGAGAAAAGAAAGGAAAACTGGTTCAACAGTTTATATACATTTAGTTTTTTCTAAAACATCGAGTTGACATTTAAACGCATTTTTAGCCTTTCGGATTCCCAAAGAAATGACGAGACTAGCGCCGATTAACGAGACCCAGGATGTCGATGCTCAGGTGCTCTACGTCGGCGACGAGAGCCAATTCCTCCCCGAAATAAAGTACCGTCTGGCCGTGTAAGAATGTTTTCGATTTTTTTTTAAAACCCACGCACTCATACACCAGATCTATATAGTAAAGCGCACAATGGAGGCGTCATTTTTTACGCAATCGTTTTGGCACATCGTATGCAATGACCAAAAAATAATAGTATACATTGTAACATGGAATGATGATGCACCTCACCACGTGATTCACTGATTTCCCTTGTCCATGAAAAAAAAAAAAAAAAAAAAAACCAGCGAAGAAGACAACGACGACATTATCCAAATGCTGGACGCCGAGTCGAGCGCGCTTCGGTCTCGCTACGGCGACTATTACGTGAGCGAGTTGGCCCGCCACCCGGTCGACTCGCGGCGACTCTGCATCTCGGAAAACCGAGAGAACGCGATAACCGGTGTCCTGGGCCTCAACAGCTGCCTCGATCTCGATTTACTGAACGACAAGTTCGAGCTCGGCGCCTTTGCCGGGCTCTGGAAAACCATCGAGCCACCCGAGATTGGGTGACGATTTTTCTTTTTTCCCCCTCGCTTTATTCATTCACAGTCATGTTTACACCACATACGTAACCGAGTGGTACTTCGTACAGGGCCGAAGACGACTGCGAAGAGGCCGAGTGCTTCGAGTACCCGTGGGATGATTCAGGTACCGATCGAAGCCGTATGAACTAACGAGCAAATCGGAGCGACTTACTAAAACTTATTCTGAAAGACGCGAGGGACAAAGATCGGAGGCAAGAGAACAACGCCTTTGCCGTGGAGCTCCTGAGTTTCTCCAGCTCGTTCGAGGAGCTTCGTTCCCGGGGCCTCCTGGGCGCTGGCTTCGGCTGCTTCCCCAACCTCGACTACTGCGTCATCCTCGTGCCGACCGATCGGCCCTACTTTCCGTTCCTCGACGAGTTCACGGTACGTACAGTCGCTCCGAGGTTCGAGGCTTGCCGACCCCAGTCCTTACCGATCTCCCAGAGAGTGCCCCTCAAGGCCGATCGAGATTTCCCCATGGCGCTGTACGTGACTCACCGGATGGTGGTGCGCGGCTGCTTCGGTGCGCGTCTGGCCCACCCGATGGATTACCTCGAGGTGTCGAGGCTCCTTGACGGCGTGGCCGATCACGCCTCGTACGTTCTCCACGATTTCGGGGAAACTCTGAGATCGAGTGCGGAAAACGAGCATCGATCCTACCTTCTCCTCTGCGGGAATGTAGTCGTCGGACTGGCGATCGTCTGGTGCGTTTTTACCTGGCGTTGCGTATACATGGAACGCTCCCTCGATACCGATCTCCACTTCCCGTGGCACAAGCAGCAGTAGCAGCGAGGCGGAAGTTGCCGTGCTCCGGCGGCGCTATCGCGTGGAGGATCTGGCGCCAAGAGCAGCAGGACAGCAATCGGCCGGTCGGCTGGTGCGGTTACATCTACTACCGGTCTTTGGCGCGCGGCTTGGCTTCTTTATCTCGGAGATCGCCAGGCTCGCCGATCGCCCCCTCATGTTCCACAGATCGAAGCCCCTGGATGACGCCGAGGTGCACTTGCGGTTTTTGTTTTTTTTTTTTGTTTATATTTTGTTCGCGCAACGCGATCGGTATGAAGTGAACAATGACTCGACGACAGAGCGCCGATCTGTCGAGGTTTATGCAACCGGTCGAGCCGAGGATCCGCAATTGGCCCCAATTCCAGCGTCTCCGAGCCGAGAAGAGCGATGACGAGGAGCTGTCGGCGCTGTACGTCTTTACGCCGAGATTGACGCTGATCGGCAAGGAGATCGTCAACGCGAAGATCGTCGTGGTCGGGGCCTCGGACTGTGGGCTCGCCTTTGTCGACGCATTAACTACGGGGTGAGTGGCGTTTTGCGCCATCACTTTGGACACAATTGCAACATTTGGACGCATCTCCGCGCAGATTCAAGTACAGAGAGCTCCGATTCGCCGATGTAACACTGGTGTCGACCAACGGGCGCACGAGCGATCCGTGGAGCGAAAAATTCACGCCCTTCCGGGGACGATACTGTTGCGCCTATCGAAGCCTCACCCCCGCCAATTACAACGTGGTCAGAGGCACCGTCGTCGCGATCGACAGGTTAATTTCTTTTTTCTTGTTTTTTTTTTCTTTTTTTTTTGTGGGAGTCCTTTGATGATTGACGAAATAAAGGAAGGAGAGGTGCGTACGGGTGAAAAACTCGGGGATCCTCACGTACGATTACCTCGTACTTGCGTGCGGCACGCCGTTCCGGAGGCCCGAGTTCAACAGCCGGCAAGAGGACGAGTGAGATTTTTTTTTTTATTATTATTATTATTTCCATCACCACAACCGATACGGATGAAGGTTGCGTTTCTGGAAGGTCGATCAAATCGGGTTTCCAGACGCCGCCGAATTGCTTCACGATCAACGACGATTTCGAGGCGAAAGCGTGCTTGGAGGAGATAAAGCTCATCACGAAGGATTTCACGGTGGAAAGTACGCGAGGGATGATCGAGTCGAGAAACCGAAATTGATGATCGATTTTTACCGATTTTCGCAGTATCGGTAGTCTTTCACGGCCGCGGTTTGGAGTGCTACTGCGCTATGGCCGGTTTCCTCGAGCTGGGCCTCGAGCCCGGATGGCTCACGTTGATCGAGCCGGTCCGCCACGATGACGTTTACGGCGATCGGCCGGCCTTCGAGGACGATCCCGAAGTGCGTACCCCTTGAACGATCGGTATGGCGATTGAAAAATCACGTGTACGCCCTTATTGAAAAGATCAAGGAGACAATGCGGGAGGTGCTGGAGATGATGGGCGTGAGGATTATGGCGAATTGCGAGCTGGTTGACGCGATGGTCGAGGAAGGCTCGGAGCTGGTGAAATACCTACGAGTCGAGAGCGACGGGGAGGGCGAGTCGAGCGAGCACGTGGACTGCGACGCGCTCATCAGCTTTCATGCGAGGGGGCCTTCCTTCGAGACGTGCTCTGGTGAAATTTTGTTGTTGTTGGTCCGAGCGAGTGTGAAAGAGAGGGTGGACCGTACGCGGTTGTCGGGATTGGATGATGCTATTTGGGTTAATCGCTTTGGTCATTTTATCATATCGTCACGTGAGTTTGTCTAGTTTGCGATGAAGAAAAAAAAAAAAAAAATCCAAGGTTTGTGGTTGTTTTATAATCGTGATGTCAGCACTAACGTAACGTCGTTACGACTCATTTTGCGAGCTGACTATCCGCGGGGGAAATTGTCATGCTTCTTTAGCTTCTGTACCTCGATATAACTAATAAAGAAAAAAAAAGGGTTCAGGTGAATTTGCAAAATATTGCGACATCGCGCTATGGTAGGGAAAATTGCTTTATACTTGCGTTCGTAAATAGGCGTGGCGAGATTAAGAGATTATATTACAGGTCGATCGACACGCCGCGGAGTATCCGATGCTCGGTACGGTCAGGAATTTTAATCGTGTCCTACTAGGCACTTTTTCTCTCTCTTTCTGCGTGGCCTGTTTATTCACTTGTGTGAGTTTAAATCGGAGTTGGTGCAAATTATACAAGTGTCTCGTGCGGTTGAGGAATATTTTTTATTTATTTATTTTTTTTTCTAGTCACCGCACGTCTAATCGTTGCGGTCGGGTGACCTATACCTCGATTCACAAAAAAGTGAACAAACCTACAAAAAAAAACAGTTTTTTTTATACTCCCTACATGTAGTGACGAAATTCGATGAAAACAAAATACGACGAGTAGTTGGAGGATTTTATTACCACTTACAAACACGTGACCTTTTTTTTCCACCCTCAATTACGTACAATGTTTTTTTTGCCCCCCTCATAAACATCCATCACTGCGAGCAGCAATACAATACTTGTAGCAATTAAAAATAATTTGACCTTAATCGGTACTATTGGTCTAAGGCAATATCGAAAAGAAAAGCTATATATCGACGAAAATTCCTATATTGTTATTTGTAGACGCGAGCAAAAAAAAAGTATTGATCTTCCATTCAAACCACATACAGCTATCGAGGAGGCCGGTCTCGTGATGTTCGACGGCCGCCTCGTAATCGACGGGGAATTCAGAACGAACGACAGTCGCGTCTTCGCCGCCGGCACGATGACCAAGTACTCGAGCAAATTGACGAGAACCGACATATGCCGCGAACTCGGGCACCTCCACAACAGCGTGGAAGTCGGCGAGAAGGTCATCTTTGTTTTTTTTTTTTTTTTTTTTTTTTTTATTCCGAGAAGCGATTTGAGTAAGCGACGGGCTCCATTGTCATTTATACACGTTTTAAAATTGCCGATTTATCGCGAATCGGGATCGACTCGTTCGACGAAGCAGTTGGCCGATACTTTCGTCAAGATGGTAATGAGCCGCAATGAGGATGGTAAAAGTGCCGAAGACGACGGCTGGACGAGTCTGGAGCCGAGAGTGCCCGGTTGCCTGTACCGAAAGCCCGTGTTGGCAAGTTGCGTGCTTCCAGGCGGCTACCGGTACCTCAGAGTGGAAAAGCCCGGAAAACCCGAGGTTTCTTGAACACGTTTTCTTACAGTTGAAAGAAAAATGAATAAGAAAATCGTGTTTTTTCCCTCGTGATGAACAGCCGTGCGCGGAACGTGGCGTGTTTACCTCGGGATCTTGCGCAGCCGATACCGGATACTTTCGACTTTGTTTGAGCGAGTACCGAAGCTTCGAGGGCATTACTTGCTTCCGTAAAACGGTGAGTGTCTTCGAGATCGGGAGTAGAGGGGGGGGGGGGGTTTT